CGGGGCTGCGGCCGAGCACGGGCAGAACTGCCACGTCCGCGCCGGGATCAAGGTCTGCTCCGCGCCCGCTCTCCCTGCCGGGGACCCACCAGGGCCGGTCTCGCAGGTGAGTGGGAACTGCTGGATCTCCGGGGCAGAGGCGTTGCTGTAAAAGTCTGTCTCGTGGACCCACCAGTACGGTCTTTCCCCAAAGAGGATCCTGCAAAGAAAGAAGAACAGGGGCTGTAGGGGTCCTGGGCAGCAGAGCTGGTGGCACAGCTGTGGGTTCTGCTCTGGCCTGGGAGCTGGAAGAGGCAAAGGACCCATGAATGGTCCAGGGTGTCCCAACAGACACAGCATCCAGCTGGTTGCTTGGTCCCAATAGCAAACGTTGCCTGTGAGTGTCCCCATCCCTCGTCCCTGAAAGGGGAGAGCAAGTCAATGTGCAGAGAAAGAGGAATGGTGTCTGCTCCCCCTAATTCTTTTTCAGGCCAAGAGCAACTGTCATGTGGTGGCACCAAAGGCAGAGGCCACCCATCCCTGCCACACGTGCAGACAAGTGTGGGCAGCCGGGGCGATTTGAGCTGCAGGGACGCACGGAGCCGGGTCCTGCTGCAGGGACACGGGGTGCAGCCCCAGAACACTGGGATGCTGAAAGGCTGCTGCAGGGATGGCACCGGCTGGTCCACTGCTCCCACGGGTACCACAGCCCACTGCCAGGCTGGGACACAACCTCTGGTCTTTATTTTACACCCGTGACAAGGCTGAGAGTGCACATCTGGCCCGCACTAGTCCAGCTGTGCCAACACGCCTGGAGGGACCTGTGGCATGGGGCCACTCACCACTTGAAGACGAGGTTGAGCCAGTCGCCGATCACAGCCACCCAGATAAGCCTGATGCCCACCGGCTCATTGTAGTGGAACCAGATAGGGAAGAGGACAAAGAAAGCATTCCTGAGGTCGGCAGCGAAGGAGATGAAGAGGAACAAGTCCTGGGAGCCACGGAAGTGCTCCTGCAGCCAGTGTGTGGCCTGGATGCCCGCGTCGTGCAGGAGGTTCATGCTGGATTCCATCCTCCTGCGCAGCTGAGGCTGTCCCGCGCTGCACCGCGCCGCCGGGGTTTTATACTCTGCAGGGTCATGTTTGCTGCGGGCAGGTTGCTTGTCCCAGCACTGATCTTTGGACCCAAAACCACTTTTGCCAAAGGTGCATCACCGAGGGGTTGTTACAAACATGTTTGGAACAACTTACGTAAAAGAGAAAAACAGGCTTCAGGGCGCGTGGAGCGTGGGGTGCTCCAGCACCAGCACCTTAACCCTTTCCCACACCGTGCACCGGTGCCTGCCTCACCCGGGATCCTGCAGCTCCTGCCCCTCCTGACACCCAGTTCAGCTGCTCCTACTGAACCGCAGCGTTTGCTGTTACCAGGGAGGAGCTGCCAGCGCCTGTGCTCTGCGGGAACAGCACTGCAGAGTGTGACACATTTCCCATGCCTCCGCCGTCACCAAGCACCACCAGAGCGTTGCAGGGATGCCCAGGAGCGTGGACTGGGCCGGGCATGGAGCGGAGGGCTGGCTGCCGCCCCCCCTACATCAGCCGAAACCTCCCGCTGATGAAACCCCACCTTGCTGCCACACCAGGCTGGTTGAACCTGGACTCTGCGTACTGGACACCTTCCAAGCCATGACAGTGAAGCCTGGGGAGCTTCTGGCTGCCAGCGATGATGTTCTCATCTCTGGTGCGGGGTTGCAGGATGCAAAGAAGGGTCCTTAACCTGCCGAATAAGGTTCCCTGGGTTAACCCGCTCCTGCACAAAACTGCCCTGTCAGACCCTGGGTGCAGAGATGGATCTGAACACACCACTTATCCCACCAGTGCTGCCACTGCAGCAGTGCTGGCACCGCAGCTTCATCACCCTGCTGCTCCCCAGGAGGTGGCGGTGAATGAGGAACATGGAGCTACCCCCAGGAGCTTGAGCACACAGTGTCAGCCTGACCAGAGAACCTTCCTGGGGCATGGAGACACGGCCCCAGGGCAGCACCATGCGCTGGGTGCCCAGCCAAAGCCTCCCGCAGTGAAAGAGGTGGCTGCCTGTGCTCGAGGGACAGGCAAGAGGCGTTAATCATTAGCAGCCAGTGAAAATACATCACTTATCTCCCCTCCTTGAGAAAGTTCAGGTCAAGATCCTTGAACCGCTACCCCTGTGCTGTCTGCCACAGCATGGAGCAGGCACAGGTCGTGCCCAGGCTCTCTGCTGCTGTGGGCAGCATCCTGCCTCCTTGCCTGCACCCAGCCCAGGGAGCCACGGGGACTAATGGGCAAAACCACTGCAAACCTCCCTCCAGGGATACAGGCACAACTCCCCAACAAAGCCGGAGTTTGCACCGAAATGGAATTACTCTTGCAAAACAAATTCCCTAAAAGCTCATTCCAGGGTCTTCAACTCTGCGCAGCTCTGGCAGCGTGAAGGAATGCAGCAGACTTGGCTTCCGCATCACAACCGTTTTGAAACAGTCAGCAATAAATTCTCCCTGAGAGATTTCACAGCGGAAAATGAGGGCAAAAGGTGCTGGGGGATGGGGACGAGCATGTTCCAGCCCCTTGGAAAGAGTCCCTGCAGGAAAACTGGGGCCGCAGCAGGGAGAGGCCACGTCCTCCCTGCATCAGCCAGGCCGTGTGTGCTGCCTCCAGTGCCAGCACTGTGCTCTGGTAGATCCCTGGCCCCAGACTGGCTCCTGGTGCTCCCAGGGGAGGAACAGGACCAAGCTGCAGGTGCTTTGTTCCTGCGCGGG